GGCCATCCTCTTCTACCCACTAAAACTAAAACCACTGAAACAAAGATTAAAATGACTAAGACTAGGGGCTGGGGATTTAGCTCAGCAGCATAAGTACCCGCCTTGCAAGCAGGCAGTTGTGAGTTCAATCCCCGGTACCGGCAAAAGAAAAAAAAAAAAAAAAGAATGTAAAAAAAAATGATTAAGACTGTAGATTATTGACCAAGGTTAGCGATGTCACCCATATGCTCTTTCTCATGGGATCAATATTACCTAATTGATTATACTTGCAATCTTACTGGTTGATCATAGTTTTAACCCACATTGTCCTCTTCTCATGATTTTGCTTTATAAAGTTCCTTTGAGAGGTGGGCTCATTGGCAACCCATTTGGGACCCCTTCTGTCTTTCAGGAGATATTTCTATTTCCTGTTCCCCATTTCTTTTCTCCAAAACATTTTCCTATTCTTAAAAAAACAAAAAAGCATATTCAAGCAGGGATTTAGCTCAGCGGCACAAGTGCCTGCCTGGCAAGTGCTGGATCATGAGTTGAATCCCTGGTTACTGCCCCCCCCCATATGAATGTTCAAAAATTAAAAGGTCGGGCTGAGGATGAAGCTCAGTGGCATAGTGCCTGTCTGGTAAGCATGAGGCCTGGGTTCTATTCTTTGTACAAAAATAAAAAGGTTGATCATACCAAAGGTTGATGAGATGGTGGAAGTCATGTGTAAACTCTCATATACTCCTGCTGGAAAAATGGTACAATCATTTCAGAGAACTGTTTAGCAATTTATTTGCATTTCTTTCTCTAATTTTTAAGTAGCTTAAATAGAATCCCATGCAGAACACACCAAAGCAAGCACCTCTTCCATTTTCCCACCTTACAGGTGAGATGCTAAGACTCTGGCAGTTGAAGGGTCCAGCCTGAGGTGACATGGCAGAGGTACACAAGCAGCGCCTGATTTTCCAACCCCTGGTATACTGGTGCCTTCCAGTGAATGACTTGTTTAGAACCAATGGATAACCTCAGTTTCATGTGATCTAGCTACTGCAGTCCTAGGAATTTATCCAAGAGCCACAGAATATGACTGGACCAAGACAAATAAAAGCATAAATGTTTATAGAATTATTCATAATAGTTAAAAACTGTAAACAATCCCTATGTCCATCAATAGATAAATGGTGTCTTAGTTACTTTTCTCATTGCTGAGGAAATATACCCAACACCCACAAGTTAAAAGAGGAAATGTTTGTTTGTTTATTTATTTTGGTGGTGGTTGGGGACAGAACTCATGACCTTGTACAGGGTAGGCAAGCACTGTACCACTGGGCTACATCCCAGCAGAAAGTGCTTATTTAGCTCACAGTTGTAGAGGTCTCAGTCCATAATGAGCTGGCTCCAAGGCAGTTAGGCATTTCAGAGAACAATTCATGGCAGTAGGTTCAACAATCCAAGGCAACAAGAGGTAAGCATAACTTCTTATCCCTCATAACTCATCCAGGATACTTAGGGTGGCAGCACTCACATCCTTAATCCCGGTGCCCTTGATCTTGGCACTGTACCATGAATCCAATCCCAGTGTCACACATTCTAGAGCCAGCACCAATGAAAAACTCCCACCCATGACCACATGAAGCATTGGGAGGACATCAAGGCACAAACCCTAACAAACAGATAAACAACTCATATAGTCATACAATGGAATACTGATTGGAAATAAAAAGGGAATCAACTATTATTAATACATGCAACCTGGAAGAATCCCAAAATAATTATTCTGAGTCAGATTATCCTGCTTTAAGCCCAAGAAAAGGGAGGATATATCATTTGATTCCACTTTTGCAAACTGATCTAAAGAAAGGAAGCAGATTGGTGGTTACCTGGGATGGCTGAAGATAGGTGATGTAGGAGAGGGATTATAAAAGATTACTGAAGTATGGAAGGTGATGGATATCACCACTGTTGTGATTATGGTGATAATTTTACAGGTGTAGACATATGTCAGAATTTATCAAACTATGCACTTTTTTTTTTTTTTTTTTGTACTCGGGATTGAACTCACGACCTCCTGCTTGCCAGGCGGGTACTTATGCCACAGAGCTAAATCCCCAGCCCAAACTACGCACTTTAAACAGGTACAGCTTATTGTATGTTGATAAAGCCATTAAAAAAAGAAAAGCAGAGGGTCTGGGCTCTAACATTGCCTAGCAGGGTTTCATGGTGAAGCAAGGACTTGGCAGTCACCCTAGAGACTCACTCTTCTATAGTGTGTGTGGGGGGAGACCACTGCCCATCACTCCATCTGCAGGAACTTGCTTTTTTATTTTTACAAGATCTCCCATGGTCTCTGCTGGAACTTTTGGCTGGACAATGGTAAAGAAGTCGTATATGAATTTAAGTCTAGGGTGACAAGCTTCCAATGGTGGCATTGTCCTTACTAACCTGTCTGCTCTGCCTGGAGCCCTAGGAACTTACCTCACTTTGCCCAAGTTATGGGTACATTTTAACTTGTGATTCAGTGAGGACAGTTATTCCAAGCTGGGAATTGTTCCATAGCGACATCTGGTTGTGTTGTAACCCACCCAAAAAACAAGGCCCCATGATGATAAACGGGGCAAGATGTCTTTTTTAAAAGAAGCGCATTTATTTTAGCTGGCCCAGCAACACAGTGCAGATGGAATTTGCAAAGCTGTGCAACTGAGTTAGAATTTTGACTGATTTTTATAGTTCATTTATGATTAGCTCATTGATCATTAAGTACATAGTGATGAGAAACAGAAACAAGGTGGGCCTTTGTTCCCCGTTGCTTGAGGTCAGAGGGATTTCACAGTGGGTGAATAGCCAATGCATAGCCCTTGGTCTGCCAATTCCAGGAACATTTGTCTCTCATAAAGGGAACAATGGTTGACACAACATCATTTGTCTCTTACAAGGGGGAACAAAAGTTGACGTAGCACACAGCTTACTTGGGGGGGGCAACGTGTACAGCATAACGCTGCGGTCAGTTAATCTATAACTATGTGGTTGGTGCTTGGTTACTAGGGTAACGAGCTCAGTACAGAATGACAATACTGCTAATAACTATCCTTTTAACTATTTTTGCTAATTATCTTTTAATCAATTATTTTAATTTTTCAGCATCTTAGTGTAACAGTTGTAGCTGAAGCTCCCCATTTCTCATCAGTCAGCCTAATAAAGTAGACATGATGTAAATTTCAAACTGTCCCAATGTGATGTGCTTAGCATGGCTAATGAAGGATTTCAACCTTTGGCAAAAAAAAGCACAGTTATTTAAAGCCAAAATTTTTTTTTTAAACAGACTTCCAAGAAACCCATAAAAGGGCCTGGAGGATAAAACAAGAAAGTCCAAGATAGACAGAACATAAACAGGGATTTCTAACCTATTGGTGGGGGAAGACAGTCTCTCAGTTTTCAATTTTTATGGCCTCCTTTTTGTTCTTTCCTTTGCTGTGGAAGGATACGGGAATTATGATTATTAAAAACAAAACAGGCTACATCATGCCCTTTCTCAGCCTTGAAAAGCTTTACTGGAGTTCATCCTAAGAATAATAGACTTTAAAGTTTTGCTTTGGCATTCAGAGTCCTATACACTATGACCTTAACCCTCCTGTTGGATTACAAACTCTGTTCTCTGGCACGTCTGAGGATGGCTGTAGCCATCCTGGCCCACTCTTGCTAGCTTTGCCCTTTTGCTCATTTTCCCCCTCTGCATGAAGTTCCCTAATCCTATCCTGGTCTGCCACTCCATCTCCCTTCTGTTGACAGAGCTCAAATCCCTTCCTAAATGAGAATAAATAGCACCCCCATAAACTGCATGTCACTGGTGGCACTTTGCTATCCTTAATCTTACTAGCCTGGGGCAACAATATCTTTGCTTGTACCTACCTACCTCTCCATTACACCCCAAGTAGCCAGAATATAATCTGGCCGAGTAAGGCTGTATTCCCAGAGCCTTGGATGCAGGAGACCCTTTGGAACTTTTGGTTGTGGAATGACTGGACTTTTTAAAATTCAAGTTTTTTTAAAACAAGGATTAAATTGTATCTTATTTGAATAGCTATCATATCAGCCTGTGTTTCTCTGGATCAGCTGACAGCTTACAGAGATGGGGAGGGAATCTTGGTTCTTGTCTAAATACAAATTTTATAAATTCAGACTTTGCCATACATTTATATTCAAAAGGTACAAAAATGCCTCTCTTGTTCTGTGGAAAGAGCTAATTATGATTAACTTTTGTGAATCCTTCCAGAAACATGCAAACATTTTCTTCTCCCTTCTTTTAAAAATAAGTGGGGGTCATAAAGTTGCTCAGCAGTAGGGTTTTCAGTACATTCCCTAACCTCTCTAGCCTGCTTTGTCATCTATCAAGAGAGCAGAATAAAGCGCAAGGCTTGCCCTAAATCTTAACTGTCTAACATGCAAGTGCTTAACACACGATTCTTCCCCTCCAATCTAATGGCAGAGAACTCATAAACCCACAAAAACCTGAGGGACCAGACGAGGGCGACCTAGACGAGTAACAGCCAATAAGCCCCGTGTTGAAGACAAACAGTCACGGAGCTAAAGAAGGTCACGGAGTTCCGCAAAAGCACCCCAAACAGCAGCCGGCGGATACCCATTTTCCGGTAAACCAGAGCAGCCTGGCTGTCACCCTGGCAACCCCGTTTTCCGGTCCCCTCTGCCTCTCTCGTCACCACTTCCTGTTTCTGCGTGACGTCATTTCTGGGCGACTGCCTGGTGGTTTCCGGGAAGGGCCTTGGGAGGGGTTCAGAAGAGGGTGGAGGGTGGCGAAGCAGGGGACCTTAGGTCCTGTCTTCCCCGTGCCGTCTGCACCCCGGGCTCGGCGCCGCTATGGAGGGCGGAGGGCGGCCCTCAGTGGGCCAGTTTATTCTCTTGGGCACCAGCTCTGTCGTCACCGCCATCCTGTACTCTGTGTACCGGCAGAAGGCCCGGGTCGCCCAAGAGCTCAAGGTCAGTGCTGGCGCCGGCTTGCACTCAGACAGGTCATCTCTACAGCGGTCATGGTGAGCCCACGATTCGCCTGGGCGGCTGCATAGTCGGAAACTCCCCAGAAGAATAACCCAGCTCTGAGACTGCCTGTCCCTCAGGCAGTCAGTGGAGGAATGAGGATCAGAATTGGGGTCTGTGATAACAGCCACTCTGGCCCTTTTCAACAGGGGACCTTCTCGTTACTCTGACCCTGGAGTTTATTAATTTACTCGAAAACTTCTCAGACACCTGCTATGCACCAGGCAGTGAGTAGAACAGACGGAAGTTTCTGCCTTCACAGAGAATCCATTCGAGTACATATACAAATAATGAACACGTTATCAGGTGCCGTGCCATGGTGAGATGCACTTTAGGAAGAGGGGAAGTGGAAATGCAAGGGCGGGGGGAGATGTTATTTTAAAACATTATATTTTTTATAGAGCCAGGAGGACTCGAGAGAGACGTCCAGGTATCTAGTATATGTACTGCCAAAATGCGCGTGACATCCAGGTATCTAAAATACAGTTCAGACCAAAGCAGGAGCAAATATAAATACTCACCAACCACTCAGCTTGTTGCTTCTACAAACGCTTCCGGGGGTTGTACTCAGGGTCTTTACACTGAGCTACCTGCCAGCTACACCTTTTAAAAAAGTTTTTGAGAGTCCCAAGTTGCCCAGGGTGCGCTTGAACTTGCAGACTTTCTGCCTCAGCTTCCTAGAGTGGCTGTATTAGTCAGTGGCACCACACCCAAGTATGTTTGGTTACTTTTTAAAACAACACTGTTTTGAACTACACTTTACAATTTTCACAGCACATTTCCCTCTGTATTTCTGTACAGTACTTTTCTGAGTCTGATAAAATGACAGTTACCCCTCAGTTGCAAAGCAGAAAATTGAGATTCAGAAGGAAGGCCATATACCTAATCAGCATGGAACTTAAACTTAGGTCCTTTGACCTAAGGTAACTCTTCTGATTGATCACATTGCTTTGTTGTGATTGTGGGGCTGGTGTACAGAGATTGGCTTCTTTACTATATGTGCTGCCAAAGTGAGCACCAGGAATTGACCTCTTTAGGCTAAAGACAGAATCTTTTTCTCTTTTTTGAGTTCTAACTCAGTGCTTGACAAGTCGTAGATGCTCAATAAACATTGGTGGGTTTGTTTTGTTTGGAATTTCACAATTCAATGATCAAAAGCCTAAATTGATATTTATATCCAGTTTCTGTATCAGATTGATTTCGTAAGGGTCTGGAAACAAGTACATGGAACCCCTGTAGGAAAGAAAGAAGTCTTGGAATCTGGAATGAACCACTTACGAGGCTATTGGATTTGTTGGGCAAATGGCATTCTAGTAAGATTCCATCTGCCCTGTTTTTCACCTACTCAATCAAGTTACATCTGATCAGTGCTGAGTGTAACTGATACTTCACTTTCTGACTCCAGAATCAATTCAGCTTCAAGCGGGTTGGATGTGAGATTCTTTGAAGCAGGAAACTCTCCAGGCCCTACTTTTAGGTGATTTTAACAGCTTTGCCAATTACTTTTTTTTTTAAAATTTTTAAATTTTTAAAAAATTTTATTTAAGGAGAAAAAAAAAGCAAAGAAAGGGTACACGTTTTACAGATTTACAGAAAAAAATAAACAGTAGGAAATCACTAGTTAATGGATTATATATTGTCATCTTAGAAATAATTGTTCAAGTTACAAAATTAAAGCTTGTAAAGTGGACATTCCAACAGTGAGACTGCAAACAGTTCTGTTCAATGATCCAACGAAACTCAGTGATACCATTATCTATCTTGTACACTTAAATATACATGCAGTTATATTGTTGAGAGCACTTTCTTTTCCTCTCTTTTGTACAATGACAATTACACATTTTGGGTTTTGTTGCTCCCACAGTTCTTACTACTTTTTTGGAAGGGAGTAGAACCAAATGTGACATAACAGAACAGAGTCAATCAAATCAAAAGGGTGGACATAATAGATAATGTAAAAGCATAATACAAGGTGATCAACAATGGTTACCATAATGCCTCCCGCTATCTCTAATAGCATTGCATATATCATCAGTTATAATAAAATTGAACAAAACAGTAAAGAACAAAACCGACAAAACCAAAACATTGGAGACATTATAGGTCTTCAAAAGTAGATAATAGTCAACCAGAATGGGCATCATAATGAATCTCACTATCTTCACAGCTGTTGCCTAAACTTTCGAACCTGGTACTGTCAAGCAAACAACAGAATAGGGGGACATCAGTCAAAAACAAGATGGTGAGAGTAATACAGGGCTTTAAATCAAGATAATGGAAAATCAAAGTGGATTACTATAATATATCCTGCTATTTTTTATTTATTTTTCCCTTAATTAAAAGGATAAAAATAAAAAAGTAAATAATGGGGGCTGAGGGTTTAGCTCAGCGGCATAAGCGCCTGCCTTGTAAGCAGGCAGTCGTGAGTTTGATCCCCGGTACCGATAAAAAGGAAAAAGACAAAAAAAAAAAAAAAAGTAAATAATGAAGTGGAGATTGAGATAAAAGAGGGCATAACAGCAAAACAGCGCAGATCAAAACATAACCATTTAAGCAGAATAGTGTTTCACCACAAGATAATCCTGACATAAAAGTAGTTACCATATTGTCTCTTTCCTTGAAATCTTTGAGTATAACTTCGTATACTGTAGCATCAAATATATCAAAACAATGTAAAACCATTTAAGAGAATGACAGCATTACAGGGTATTTAGAATCAACTAACAGAAAATGAACAATGGTTTCTGTATAATCTCCTTGTCTTTAAAAGTTTTTGCTTATACTATCATACATAATAAAATCCAATAAGATACAACCTGTTTAGACCAATGGAGACAGAAGAACAAAAGCTTAATGAGACTTCAAAACAAGATAATACTAAATCAGTATTACCTATTAAGACGTCATTTTCTCCAAAATAGCTGTTCCTATCATCCAGTCTTCTCTGCCTCATTTCTGTTGAGCTCTTTTTCTGTCATTAGTTGTCAGTTTGTCTTCTTCATTTTGTTTTCTGCTCCATTCATTGTGGCCTCTCTGTCACTATTTCTGGATTCTTCGTATTTTACTTTTTTAGAATATCCTGCAGTATTCTCTGTAGAGTTGAATTGGTGGTTGCATATTCCCCTAGTTCCTCTTTATCGTGGAAGCACCTTGTTTTTCCATCAATTTCCAGGGATAGTTGTGCAGGATATATCAATCTTGGCTGGAGATTATTATCTTTCAAAGCTTGAATTATTTCCCCCCACGCTCTTCGTGATTTGATGGTTTGTGCAAAGAAATCTGCTGTAATTCTGATGGGTGTTCCCTTGTAAGTGATCTGTTTCTTGTCTCTGATGGCTTTTAATATTCTGTTCTTGTATTGAATTTCTGGAATTTTAATTATTATATGCCTCGGTGTTGCTCTGTTTGGGTTGTAGGTGGCTGGGGTCCTGTATGCTTCATACAACTGAGTATCTTTACCTTTTGCTAAATTAGGAAAATTCTCCTGGATTATTTCTGTGAGTAGCTTTTGTAGTTCATTTGTTTGTGTCCGTACTTCTTCTTTTATGTTCTTAATTCTTAAGTTATGGATCCTCTTATCATCTTCTAGTCTTTGTATTATTGCTGTTTGTTTCTTTGTTACTTTTAAGAAGTTTTTCATTTCATTCTCCCATATTACAAATCTGCCCTCCAGTTCAGATAGTCTGTCCTTAGTTTCTTTCAAGCTGTTATGCCAGTTTTCGATAGTTTTTAGTTTCCTGGTAGTCTCTTTGAACCTGCTTCACATATTCTATGCTTTCTCTATTTTCTCCATCAAACAATTCTCCCCTCTTTTTCTGTTCTTCCATTCCACCATCTGTTTTTTCTTGGGTGGTGCTTAGCATTTCTCTAACGATTCTGCTTATTTCTAGCTTCAGGTCATTAATAACTTCATTCCTGAACTCATCTATGAGGCTCTCAAGATGGCGCTTTATGTCTGTTGGTGCGGTGTCCCCTATTGCCTGTTTCTCAGGATTGGGGGCCGAAGGGCCTTTCTTGTTGCTCCCTCTTCTCATATTCTTTGTTCCTTATATATGCAAGCGTATATAGGAGGCCCAGCTTCCTTCCCTGTCAGCCACAGTCTGATTGAATTGCACAGACTAGGTGTTCCCGCCCACCGCAGTACACCAGGAAATTGCAGACCAGGCAGCCTACGCGGGGCCCACCCCTCCAGGCCACCCTCAGGCTCTGGGATCTGGGTTGTGCCAGCCTACTGGGTCTCCGCCAGCAGCGTCACGTAGGCTAGGCACTTGTCACCAATCTGGCTTGAGATGGGGATGCATGGCTGAAGTCGCTACAGCCGCTGCAGCGCCCGCTCCCGCAAGTCTGCCCAGTCCCAGAATGTCCTCTGTTGGAGTCTCCTGGACCGTGGGAGAGTCCCAGTTTTCCCTCACTCACTGGAGGTGGATGCACGGCTCCCCCCCCATCCTGTTTTCAACTCCATTCACCGATTCCCGTTCTCAGAGCTTCCGCGCATCTCTCTCCCTGCCGAGCCGATGTAGATGCAGCCACCGAGCGGCGGGAAACCCAAATCGCGGCTTCCAATGCTGTGGGCTCCAGCTTCCATACTGAGGCTTTTCTGTTCCTGTTATAGCACCAGGATTGCATTCCAAGTTGGTTTCTCTCAGCCCAGTTCGTTCTTGGGTCAGCAGGGCATATCTCCACTTGCTTATGATTCCTTACTCCACACCATTCCTGAATTCTAAGCTGGGTCTTTCAGAGAGCCTCCGTAGCTGCTGCTATCTGTCTGCCATGTTCTCCCAGAAGTTGCCAATTACTTTCTAAAAGAAGATGAAGCAGCCCCTTCCTGGAAAAAGATTTGGGGACCCCTAATATTTTAGATTCTTGTAGAGATCCTTTCTGGTCTTCATCACAATCCAGGAAATTTATATTTGTAATCCCATGGAAAAGTTATTGGAATTGTAGCCAGTAATTCCAATCTGCCACTTCCAGTGCAACCCATGGTGAAAATAAAGACTAACACATAATTAAATTATAGGGAGCTAAGTGGTCCTGCGTTCAGCCCAGGCAAAGGTTCACAGCAACAAAGGCCTTGATCCAAGGCCTAACCCGGATTTTATTAAAATAGATAAAGGGAGTGGCTTGAGGATGAGTGGGAGACTGAGTACTGGGAGCTGGGCTAGGTAGGAGCCTATCCTAGTAGACAGAGGGAAGGATATGCAGAAAGACCAATTTACATAACACAATTGAAGTAGCTTTTAATGTTCAGGGGGCGCTGCTTCAGCTCCACTGTGCAAACTTTTGTGCCCTGGGAAGTCAGCCTTTTATCTCCAGGCGGAGCCCAGTTACTGGAGCTGTGGCTCTTTTCCCGCCCACCTCAATTGTGTTTTGTTGGTTGGAAGCCATTGGTTGAGGGCAGATTAAGCCTCAGCACCTCAGCTAACTCTATTTACATTACTTAGAGCCAATAAAGGGAACAGGAAATGACCTAGCTGGCTTTGTACATATCACTGTATGGAGATAGGGCCAGGTTTAGCCACAATGGAGATAATTACTTTATGTTCTAGAAGAAATTACCCAGGTGGCCCTCCACACATTCTCTTTTCTTGGTTCAATTACAAAACTTTAAGTGTGGGGTTCCTGTCTTATCTTGGGTGTTTCTCACGGTGATGAAAATGCATAATTAATTGTATGTCTCAAGTTTATTTAATCTACAATAAAAAGCCTATCTTTTCTCCAACCTTGACTGTTTTGGGAAGTGAGGTAAACTAACTTGCCCAAAGCCACAGTAAAAACACTGAAGCTTGACCAGATCTCTCTAGTCATATTCTCCATCCCTTGACTTAAAATTCTCTGCCATACTGTGTTGGATTCTTTACTAGATATGTAACTTTGGGCAAATAACTTTACTTCTCTGAGCATGAGCTCCATTTTTTGTAATTGAAGATAGAAATGCCTACTATGTAGAGATGGAATCAGTACTAACGAGATTTAGGCATTTAACATGCTTAGTACCTGGTACACAGTATATTAAGTACTTAATAAATCACTACTTTCTCTATCAAAAATATATTGAGTGCTTGCTGTGTGTCGGGCACTGTTCTTGGCACTAGGAGACAGTCAGCTAGACAGACAGTAGATACTTGATCACGTAAGAAAAGTTTTAGTGTAACTCAGGGAGGCATCACAGAGAGGTAGGAAATAGTGAAGAGCACAGCAGTGGATGTAATTGTAAGAAAGAAAGAAATTTATAAGTAGAATAGCATTGGGCTCCAGTTAACAGAGATTTACCCTGATAAAGCAAGGGCACCCTTTAATGATAATGTACCATGCAGAGCTTCACTTTATAAGGTACAGTAGTAAACTGCACCTGCCATTTCTTGAGCCCCTATCATGTGCTAGAGAAGAGGTTATGTGCCTTATACCTGAACTCTTTGGACTATAGCTCTGAATTGTCAGGAAGAAATTAAGTGATGTTCATTCAGCAGTATGCAAATTGACTTTTATAGTTTCAGCTAAAAATGTTCAAATTAAAAGGAGTGTTATTGGGCTGGGGATACAGCTCGGTGTGCAAGTACCTACCTGGCAAGCACAAGGTCATGAGTTCGATTTTGGGTTCGATTTTGGGTACCAAAAAAAAAGTGTTGTTTTGTTTAACTGGATAAAAAAGTGTATTGGCAACCCCACTGTGCTCTAAGGCAGGAGTGCAGAAGCAACTCCTTGACCTGCTGCTAAAAGTTGTGGGACAGACTTTGAAATCAGATTATCTGTGGTTTCCTTCCTGCCCAGTTTCCTCATTAAACAAGCAATCGTTTTTTACCCTTCAGTTTGATTGAGCATGCATGTCAGTATTCAGGGACAATTTCATATACATATATATATATGTATGTATTTTTTTGCATTTAGGGAGCTAAGAAGATGCACTTGGGTGAAGATTTAAAGAGTATTCTTTCAGAAGCACCTGGAAAATGTGTGCCTTATGCTGTTATTGAAGGTATGTTTGGTGATAAATGGAAAATAACTTCCTTCTTCCAAAAGTTTGATAAAGTTTGTCTTGGGTAATGTTAAGTGCCTTTTATTTTTGGGGAACCATAGTTCAGAACGTACTTTGGAGTACAAAACAAAACAGGATATTGCCTTCTAATGTTGGGCAAGTTGTTTGTTTGTTTGTTTGTTTGTTTGTTTTTTGGTGGTCTTTTTGAAACCGGGTCTCACTGTGCAGTTCAGGCTGGCCTTGAGCTATTTGTAGACAAGGTTGGTTTTGAATTTACAACTATCCTTCTGCCTCAGCCTCCTAGTGTTGAGATTATAGGCGTGCCCCACCACACCCAGCTTTGGGCAAGATTATTGAACCTTTCATATGCTGATTATTGTAGGGATTATAGGGATATAAGATTTAAATGATGTTATTTATGTTAAATACTTAGCAGGGGTCCCCCTTAAGGTAATGTGTGTGCATATATATATATATATATATGTAATGTATGTGTTATCATTTTGATTAATGTAACTAAAGCTGAAAACACATTCTGAATTACCTTGAGATGACAGAACCATGCTTCAGAAATCAAGTGATTTATTCCTCCTTAGGAGCTGTGCGGTCTGTTAAAGAAACACTGAACAGCCAGTTTGTGGAAAATTGCAAGGGGGTGATTCAGCGACTGACACTTCAAGAGCACAAGATGGTGTGGAATCGAACAACCCACCTTTGGTAGGTGTCCTTTGTCCTGTAAAACCCTGCTTGGGTCTGTTCAGGCACTGGGTCCTGGCTGCCAGGCCATGTCCTCTGCTCTCCTGAGACTGGTTGAACACCAGCGTCCTGATTACTGGGTGTGCTCTGTGGCCTCCATCAGCTTGCTACCATGAGTATTCTTAGGCCTACCTCCACATCCTCCAAATCAGGATTTACAGGTGGGGGGACCTGGAATCTGTTGATTCTTAGGCACATGAAAGTTTGAGAACCACTGTTACAAATTAATGATTGCAGTGTTTAAAATAATTTTGTTCCACTACATGGAGTACCATTTTTCCATCTGAGCCTAGCAGGTTTTTTTTCTTTTAAATCAGTACCAGAGATCGAACTCCCTGAGCTTGCAAGGCAGGCGCTTATGCCACTGAGCTAAATCCCCAGCCCTCTAGCAGGTTTTTGTCTCACATATTTGTTTGACAGTGGCAAAGAGGAGTAAATGATAAAGGTGGTTATTTCGATTTCTATTTAAATGTCACCCCAAAGCCCCATGCTGTTGTGGAGGCTGCTGAATCTAGCATTTGTGATTGGTTGATTGTCTCGCGCTGGGATTGGCAGTGTGAGTGCTGAACCCGCCCAGGGGCGGGAAGCCAGCATACAATAGAAGGAAAGCAGGAATACCATTTTCTTTTTGCCCTTTGTGTTCTTGTCACTCGCTGCTGTTGTGAATGGTTAAATCTCAGCCACTCCACCCTGCCTGGGAGCCAATTGAGTATGAACTGAAACCTCCAAAAAACTGTAAGCTGGATAAGCCTTTCCTTCCTTCTTATGGATGTTAGGTATTTTGCCTCAGCAATGAGAAAAAAAGTAACCAAGACAGGATTTGGTACCAGTAGAGTAAATGCTGTGACCGTATCTGATTATGTGGTTCAAGACCCTTTGTGAATGGCTTGTGGGAAGAGTTTGCAAAGGTCTGCAGATGTGGTCTGAAAGAATAGAGCTGGTTCTTAAGGATTGTTAAGCCTGTATTACAGTGTTCAAGTTGTGAAATGGGTTTTGTTTTGTTTTGGTGCTGGGGATTGGACTCATGACCTCCGGCTTGCTAGGCAGGTACTTATGTCTCTGAGTTGTGAAATGTTAAGAATAAACATGTCTAGTATCTGGAAGGTGATTTAAAGAAATGTGTCTGGTTGGCAAGTTGACAAGGGGTGATTTGTTATGGTTGGTACATTGTGTCAACTTGAGAAGTTTAGAAATTTAATCAAACAGTTCAGCAGGGGGCCAAGGTTCTTACTTTGTAACATCCTCAGCCCCTGTAAGAGGAAGCCCTGCAGATGATGTGAATGCTACACCTGTCCAAGGCAGAGTGGTAGGGAGGGAAGCCTGCTTACAATATAAGAGAGAAGAGGCTTGTTTTCCCCCTATTTTGTTCTAGTTGCTTTTGCTGGCTGCTGCCTTTGAAGTGTTGCCCCAGTGCCCCTCCACGCCTTGGAAGCCCACTGTCCCTAGACTGTAACCAAGACAGAAGTTGATACCAGTGGAGTAGAGTCATTGCTGTGACTATACCTGACCATGTGGTTCAAGAGCCTTTGGGAATGGCCTGTGGGAAGAGTATGGGAAGGTTTGGAGATGTCACATCTTATTCTGTTCTGTTTGGGAGATGCTGGTCAGAGCTTAGGAGACCAGATGATGTGGAACGCTGATAGAAAGTCTGCTGGTAAAGACCAGGCACAGGAGGTTTCTGCTAGGAAGAAGGATTACACTGGTTGTTGGACTCCAGTTGAGTACGTTATGGCTTGATAGAAAGTTTGTTGGTGTTTTACTCCTGTCCAGAGACTTTGCCTGAGGCTGAGGTTAAGGCCAGTGGATTAATTAATCTGATAGAAGAAATTTCTAGGCAGTCACATGTTGAGGCAGTGGCATGGCTACTGTTGGGGGCTTTTAGCCATATTTGTGTTGCAAATCAAGAGCAGAGAGCCCAGCAGAATGATTGAAAATGTGAGTTTGGCCAGAAAGAAGCTCCAGTAAAGCTGTGGACTACAAAGTTAGAGCTGTGACCTCGACTGCTGAAAAGGAACAGAGAAATAAAAAAGATGGCCTGCTGGCATCATGGGAAGCAGTGCGTCCCCATGCTTTGCATGCCTAAAACTGCAAAAATGAAAGATTTTGCTTGGAGGAGAAAGCTGCCATAATGCCATGTTCCAGAATGGCTATGGTGGCCACATGAGGTTTCAAATGGTGGCAGTCGGGGCTGGGGATTTAGCTCAGCGGCATAAGCGCCTGCCTTGCAAGCAGGCAGTCGTGAGTTCGATCCCCGGTACCGATTAAAAGGAAAAAGACAAAAAAAAAAAAAAAAAAAAAACCCCAAAACAAATGGTGGCAGTGGCCACACAAGGTTCCAAAATGGCGACAGCCGCACCAGGTTCCAGAATGACAGCAACATAGAGAAGCTGTTCCTCACAAGTTCAGAGTGTTCAGCCATCCAGTCACTCTAATCTAGTTGCCAAGAGAGGAAAGCATGGCTACTCTTCCAACTGGCAGCAGACCTTGGCATCCACATGGTCCTGGTTTTAGGTGCATGGAGAATGCATAAGTTCTGAGGTTAAGGCAGCTTCCACCCTGATTTCAGAGGCCTGGAAGGCTAGGCAGTGTGCTCCTGAGAGAGCAGTGTGTGAAGCTGTCATTGTGAAGCCAAAGGTGTAGTGGAGAATCCAGAAGTTTGGAAAAGCCAGGAGTGTAGGTCATCTAAGGAGAGCTGCAAAGACTGAGCAGAACAGGCTCAGAGAGAAGCCATGGGAGGTAAAACCGTCAGAGGTGGAGTCACTCATGCCCTTTGGAGCTCACAGCCAGATAGCTTCAATTGCTGAGCCTGGGACTCCAGGACTTAGTGTTTGTCCTGCTGGATTTGGACTTGTTTTGGTTCCCATCTTTTGTATTCCTGTTTGCCCTTGGGAGTGGGAATGTTTATCTTGTGCCATTGTGTGTTAGAAGTGTTTAATTTTGTACAGGGGGTTACAGCCTCGGATTTTGCCTCGGATCTCTGAGGAGATTTGGGACTTGGACTTTTCAGTAAAGCCAAAACTGTTAGGACATTTTGGGCAACCCTTGGAGATGAGTCTTTGGGAGGCCAGGGGTGGAATGTTTTGGTTTGTATTCAGATGTCCCCCCCAAAGCCTCATGCAAGTATGGAAGCTGCTGAATCTAGTGTTAGTGGTTGGTTCATTGTCTAGTGCTGGGATTAGTGGTGTTTGTGCTGTATCCACCCACCCGGGGTGGATAACCGACATACAATATAAGGGAGGAAAGGAGGTATACTTTTCCTTTTTTGTCCTTTTCACTCTTGTTGCTTGTGGCTGGCAAGTAGGGTTAAACCTCAGCTGTGCCACCCTGCCTTGGAGCCAACTGAGTATGGACTGAAACCTCCAAAAAACTGTACGCTAAATAAGCTTTTCTTATGGGTGTCAGGATTTTTGTCTCAGCAACAAGGAAAAAAAGTAACTAAGACAGTGATCTCTGACAGAAGTTGTTGCCTACTGACATACTACCTGAGGAGCTAAGAAATTGAGCCTGTCTGAGCTGAGGTTTTGAGTAGTGATTTCACTTGTATCCTCCAGTTACTTCAGCCTTGAGCCTGTGCTGGTGTGTAGGTGATCTTGACCTTCCCTGGGTGCTTGATACTTTGTTTCACCTTCAGTTCTGTTATTTCTTTAGGAATGACTACTCCAAGATCATTCACCAGAGGACCAACACAGTGCCCTTTGATCTGGTGCCCCATGAGGATGGCGTGGATGTGGTAGTCCGGGTGCTGAAGCCCCTGGACTCAGTGGATTTGGGCCTAGAGACTGTGTATGAGAAGTTCCACCCCTCGGTCCAGTCCTTCACCGATGTCATTGGCCACTATATCAGTGGCGAGCGGCCCAAAGGTATCCAGGAGACTGAGGAGATGCTGAAGGTCGGAGCCACCCTCACTGGGGTTGGAGAACTGGTCCTGGACAACAACTCCGTCCGCTTGCAGCCCCCAAAACAAGGCATGCAGTACTATCTGAGCAGCCAGGACTTTGACAGCCTGCTGCAGAAGCAGGAGTCGAGTGTCAGGCTCTGGAAGATCCTGGCCCTGGTGTTTGGCTTTGCCACATGTGCCAGCCTCTTCTTTATCCTCCGGAAGCAGTACCTGCAGCGGCAGGAGCGCCTGCGCTTGGAGCAGTTGCAGGAGGAGTTCCGGGAGCACGAGGCCCAGCTGCTGAGCCAAGCCTCGCCGGAGGACCGGGAGAGTCTCAAGAGTGCTTGTGTTGTGTGTCTGAACAGCTTCAAGTCCTGTGTCTTTCTGGAGTGTGGCCACATATGTTCCTGCCATGAGTGCTACCGTGCCCTGCCAGAGCCCAAGAGGTGCCCCATTTGCCGGCGGGAGATCACCCGGGTGATTCCCCTGTACAACAGCTAACAACCTTGCGGCCACACAGCTGGGCCGGGAAGCAGCTTCCTGCTCCTCAGGAGTTCGTCCTGAGGCCTCTGGAGAGCTGCAGTGGGGACTGCTGTACCTCCAGCTGTGACTGAGCAGGAACTGTCACACCTACACCTCCACCAGCAGGGCCTTGCCTTTATAACCTGAGCCTTGCCAGCCCAGAACCTGTCGGGGAGCTCTGCTCCGCATGGAAGCCATGGCCCGACGCTGCTTCTGAGAAGCAGATCCATGTAGGGAGATGAAGGACCCCATGGCCTGAGCACCAAGGCTCTTCTGGACCTTGCTGGGGATTTTGATTGCTGCATCTGTGGGGAGGAAAGGCGGGCTCTTCAAGGCCACACAGAGCTGCCTGTGGGGACACTCATCTGTAGCTTTCCTTCTTTTGCTTCTAACAGGGGAAAGGGCTTACTAATTGTCAGGCTAGGCAAGTCACTTGTGTCCCTTTCTCCTCAGCTGCTTGCCTCCTAAACGTGTGCACATGTGTAAGGAGTGAGCTCAGCCCCTTGCCCAAACATGTGGGCTGCAGATCAGCAGGAGGACAAGAGCAATCTGGGGTGATTGTCAGGTAGCCATGCCAGTGTCCCTCCGACCCAGGTCCTCCAGCGAGCACACCTCAGTCCTGTCGTGCAGCGTACAGGCCCCTGGGTGGCTCAAGTTTCCCTGCTGGAAGATGAGCTAGGAAGCTGAGCTAAAGGAAGCAGCAAGGACATTGCTGAGCTGGACTCCTGACGTCCTAGCTTACTCGCTTGCTTTCACCAAGGAAAAGTAGCCAGCTGGCAGCCAGCACGCTCAGCTGATCAGGGCTGCTCCCTGTCCCTGGCCTGTGGCAGAGGTAACATGGGGGGGGGGGTATCACATTTCTGTCACCCTTCACCCCTCACTGTCCCTGTGGAGCCTGTGAGTGCAAGAGAAGTTGGGGAGTGTCCTTCCCCACCTCTGAGTGGCCAAAAACACTCACAGCTCTTTTATTGTCCCTCCCTGTCCTTGACCCTTATCCCCCATCCTCCTCTGTGTGGGGGATGGTGTGCTCTCAGGGGGCTGACACTAGTGTCATGCAGTGTCCAGTGCGCACAGCACAGATTAAACATTTTGCAACCATGTGCTCTCACCTGTCGCTTTGTTCATGAGGTTAGAATCGTAAAGTGAGGCTTTCCTAGCTGGACCTGGATCCCCACCATGAGGGAGTGAAGACCAGGGGCTCAGAGGCCTTTGTCTTTATTGGCTGTGAGGTGTTTTGGTCTCCCGGAGTTGGGGTGCAGCTGGATAATGGGGAGGCCCCAGTGCTTGCTACCATGGGAGGGGTCTGCTGAGCTGTAGAGGACTATTGTAGACAGCCAGCCCATGGCTTCTCCTGGCCTTGCTGACACAGATGAAGACATCTGTCTTGATTCCTGGCCACCAGAGCAGCAAGGGTCTGCCTGCTGGGAGTCTTAGCCAGGGAGGCTGGTTGGGCACGGTGAGGGGGAAACTGGCATTGAGTGAGCACTATCGTGTACCTGGTATTGTACCAAAGGCTGCTTCAGACTACACTTGTAACAAGTGTTTACCCCACAGGCCAGGCCTGCCCGCCAAGCCCTGGTGTCTCTACTCTGCCTCTGCAATGAACCCCAAGAAGGAAGTTCCGTGGCCTGAGGGCACAGAGCTGACACGTGACACTCCCAGCCTAAACCCCAAGCTGCTTCCTGTTAGTCCAGCAGGGCCTGCTGATCCCCTGTGTCAGCAGGAAAGCCCATACCATCCTGATTCCCTGGCTGGTGGCCACACGGGAGAATGGGCACAAATTGTGACTCCATTTGCCAGTGCTGTGTGCTGCCCAGTGAGGTGTGAGGCCCTGAGGGAAGTGACCGTTCCGAACACCTTGAGAACATCTGCCCTCTTCCCTGTCCTTCCGGCACTCACTCTGCGAGGGTCCAGCTTCCAGTGGGGCTCCCAGCAGGGATTTCTGGGGGAATCTAAGAGTTGAGCCCTCAGTGTGAATTTGGATTGATCAAGGAGATGAGGAAGAGGAGAAGGCTGCCCACTACCCAACCCGGGGCAGGCTTCACTTCATCTCAGGCTGCCTGCAAATGGCTCAGTCCCTGATGTGGGACATCTGGTCACGTAGTCACCCCAGACACAGGTGTTCCTAGATTGGGGATCTGGAGTCCTGGAGTGGTCCTGGCCTTCTGGGACAGATTGCCTTATGCTCTGCTATAGCTGTTGCCTGTGGCAGTCCTCACCTATGTTTTAGGAGCCTCATTCCATGAGGAGGCAAATGTATGGAACTGAGGTTGAGGGGTGGGGTGGGGTAATGGAGAAGTGGAGGTACAAAGTTGGTATGGAACCAACTGGGGTTGTTGTGAACTGTGGGTCTTTCTAACTGTGGGCCCCAGTGGTCGGTCATGACTCCTGGCAGGCACAAACAGGAATGATAACATTCTTTGTATTTATTCACCTTCCTGAATACTTACAGCAAACCAGCAAGAAAGGTTAAGCCTGCCAAGGTCCCCAGCTGCAGCCTTGACTTTGACTACCTTAGGCCTGGGACCCTAAAGGAAAGATTCGAGTCCAGGCAGGCATCCCTCAGTATCATGGGGAATCAGATGAGTGGCCTCAAATGAAATATCCCAGTATGTATTTATAATCTATGTGCATCCTCCTATATGCTAAATCATCTCTAGGTTACTTAAAATACCTCCCATAAGGTAAATACTGTATAAGTAGTCCTTATGCTGTGTTGTTCACGGAATAATGACGAGAAAAATGTACATGTTCCAATTTTTTTTTCCCTGAATACTTTTGATTGCAGTTGGTTAGATGCACAGGTGCAGAACCCACGGATTTAGAGGACCGACTATATTACCATAAACAGCGGTTTACAAGCCAATCAGCACCTCAAGAACCACCAATCACTCCCCCAGCAGATCCTGCAGGGCGGCGGTTGGAAGGCTGTCCTCGGAATCCTAATTTATTTAGATTTCTACTGGAAAATTTAGAGAGCAGGTGATATGAGGACCAAGCTCAGATTCCTTTCACAAGCCTGCTCCTAGGTCCAGCTGAGGGATGGACCTGATGCCACAGCCTCACAAGACCTCTCAAGTGCTTGAGGCCAGGGCCTGCTGGGTCTGGTTCTGTGGCGTCTGGGGGCGTTGATTCATCCCATGCACATCTGGAGGTATGAAGTGGACACAGCACAGTCCCTGCCCTCAAAGGGCTCAGCGTTGTGTTTCAGGGCATTCTAATTGCTGGACAAGGGGTAAACCCCATTTGGTAAGGCAGGGACTTAGTTGTTTGGATATTACATTCTGTGGTTTATGGAATATTACATCTTTTTTCTTCTAGAGACAAGGTTTCACTATGCAGTTCAGGCTGACCTTGAGCTCACTTTGTAGCACAGGCTGGTCTTGGAACTTAGTCCGCCTAACTCAGCCTCCTGAGTGCTGGGATTGCAGGTGTGTACCATCATGCCTGGCTCTTATGGAATATTATATAGCTGGATGCTTGCTTAGTCCGTTGTGCTGCTGTAACAGAAAACCTGAGGTTGGGTAATTTATAACAGATTGGCTGACTGGGAGGCCTGGGGAGGGGGAGCAAGGTTCCTGCATCTGTATGTGTGGGAGTTCTTGCTGCCTCACAACATAGTGCAGAACATTACATGATGAGGAAGCACTTGCGACACCCCCAAAGTACAGCTAGATCCTGTTAGGAGCCCACTCCCAGGATAGCTGTCCTCTCCATTGACCGATCGCCTCTACAGGCTTCTAACTTCTTAACCTTGTTACAGTGGCAATTAAACGTCAGCAGGGGTTTAGGAAGGGAGATTGGCCCATCTCTCTGCAACTATTAGAAATAAACCAACACAGGGCAGCGTGTCATTGTGGAGGAAAGGCCAAGCAGAGAAAACCTACCCTTCCGAGTCTAGAATGATCTACTTAAACCACCAACCTGACCATGCCCCTCCTCATAAAGCCCAGCCTGAGCTCCCTGCCACCTGCAGGACATGGCCTGGCTGTCCTGTGGCACGTGAAGCCCTGCATGGCCCTGCCGAGCCCAGCCGAGTCACCTCTCCCAGCTTACTGGCATCCCTGTCTCACTCCTGATTCCAGTGACACTAAACTGGTTTGGCTTTTTAGGGGACAGCGTCTCACTCTGTAGTTTAGGCTGGCCTTGAACTCGGTATATTGTCTAGGCTCATCTCAGGCCTGTGAGTGATCCTCCTGCCTCAGCCTCCCAAATACTAGGATCACAGGTATGCAACACCATTCCTGGCTGACACTGAATGGTTGAATTTCCTCAAACGTCACACCATCCTCTGCCTTGGCTCACGCTGGTCCTTCCTTTTTGTCCTTGTCCTTTCCCCACCTGACCAACATCCACTCCTCCTGTAAAATCTGCTGGAGGTGTCTCCTCAGGAAAGGCTTCCAGGACCCCCACTGGTGGGCATCCCTCCCTTGAGTTTCCCAAATACATCCTCTTCTATTTCTGCTCTAAGCTGTGTTGTGCAGGTCTCAGGCAGGGGCTGTTTCCAGGGGCCCTGATGAGAGCTGCATTCTGATCCCCTCTCACTTGTGAGTGTTTGTATTATTACTTTTAATAAAAGGAAACCAGAATCCAGAGAGATCAAATGTCTTGCTCAAACACACGAGAGGGAAAGGATTAAAACCCAGGCATCCCACTCTGGAGTCTGAGCTCTCACCTCCTAAATGTCTGTGGGATGAATGAGTAAATCGTGAATGAAACAGTGGATGTGGAGGAGACGATCCTGAAGGGCTGCCGGAGGAGTCAGGTTTTGGCCCACAGAGGAGAGGCCTGACCTAATTGCAAGGAGTGAGGAGAGGGCCTCTAGGGGTGGCTGCCAGGAGGGTGAATTGTGCAGGAGGGACATCATGACAAGCAACCTGTTCAAGCTTTGAGGACTCCACACAGGTAATTGGGGCAATGCTGTTGACAAATGGTCCAGGCTGGGGGCCCAAAGGCTGGCTTTCCCTCTGATCCTGGCTCCATGGTTATGAGATCTTAATCCAGAGATTTGACCTCTCGGCCTTCGCCTGCATATAGAAGCAGCAAGTTGGGCGAGAAGCTCTCCAGGGCTCATTTATATGGTCACGAGATGGAGAGTGGATGAGGGGACCAGAAAGCCCCTGCAGAGGGGCTGCAAGCCGGAGAGAGGCGTGTGCTCCTTCCTCAGGCGAGCTGTGCCCACAGCCTTCTGAGAAAGCCAGGGAACTCAGCACATTTCCTCTCTAATTAGATGGCGGTAACTTATCAATTTTGAATGAGATAAGTTTCCATGCATGATGTCCCGAATTGCTCCCCAAAGTGCTCATTAGTCACTTCCCTGCAGCTGTCTTATTGTTTTCCAGATGCCAGCCGTGGGACTTGGCATTTCCCTTTCCTGAGCCGGGGCAGGCAAGGCAGACGCAGTGACACAGGCAGGCGTGGCCCAGAGGGGCCGAGCAGGTGGGAGAGGCTCTGCGTCTTTTGCTCTTTGCCCTGCCAGAGCCATCGAGTCACTTTAAGGCCCTCAAAGCCAGATTGCTCAGCAGTTGGCCATGACTCTGGTGGCCCACAGTTGAATCAAACAAACATTTATTAGCATTTACCGCGCCAGGAACCTGGCATCTGTAACCTGGATGCTCCCTAGGCCTGAAGGCAAGTTTGAGATCCTCTTAATGCCCAAATCACCATAACCGTGGGCTGCGTTCCCTCGGTTTTCTCTCTTTAAGGTGCCCCTTAGGACGGTGCTACCCTTAGGCTTCCTGACCTCTTTTCTGTTTCACCCCAGGCCCAGGAGTTGAGCTCTCTTGATGCCGCAGTCTCCTCCATTCCCTCCTCCTCCATGACCCCAGATGGCGCTGTGCCCTCGTAGTTGAGGCCGTCAGACGCCTTGGAAGAGAAACAGTACACCTAGAGCTCCTGCGTGCAGACCAGGTTTCACAGGCCCAGGCAAAGCATCTGGGGAGGATGCCGGGCTGCTGATCCGGGCACCAGCTTGGTAGTGCCTGAAAGGACGAAGCAGAAATTCTCTCCACTTTCCTCCTACCTCTGCCCAACTCACCGGGGAGCTGTGGCTGGCTGCAGATGTGAAAGTTTTAAGAAACCCAGATAATGGGACGAGG